AAAGCAAAAACCTCAGGGAAAGGTGAAATACTGCTTTGGATACACAGGATTGTGAGTTCTGAGATTAGATTCCTTGTTTAGAATGAATTCGGGGCAGCTGTGAAGTGGGAGAGCATTAAGATACCTGTCCTTCCCTTTGCAGTAGAGGATGGTATGGAAGGAGGTGAGGACAATGCTCGGAAGAGCAGGTTGCCTGGGAACAATTTGGTAGCAGGATCCAAACCATCTCACAATACTGAAAGGATTATATTTACCTTACAAGGGAAAGTTGGCTTCAAAGTTCACTTCTGTTTCAGGTTCTGCTTAAATACTATTCTCTGGAGAAATAGAATTTAGAATAAGTTTTCCATATCAACACAGTGCTTCCTACTTTTAACTCTTGTTACTGAAATGTGCCCCAGTTCCCCAAGAGCAATACTTGACTGAGGTGCTGGCATGAATTGTTTATATGTTCATTAATTAATGTGAAGAATTTTAAAAATAGGATTTCATCTTTTTCCCAGTTTTTACACATGATAGCAACAAGCTTTAGAAAAGCACTGCATTTTTAAATTTATTTATAGAATGGCTTTGACTCATTTAATAATGCTTTGTAATTAAATTGTGGATTACTTTGAGTTTGCACAATTATAAGTTAGCATTAATGTTCCTTTTTGTGTTGCTAATAGTGGTCAGTTTCCCTTAATGTGTTTGAGATTGTTATATCCATAGATAAATAAAAATATGAGTATCATTAGAGAGACTGTACCTTGTAGGATATTCATTTATTACATAAATACTCTTGCATGCCTACTCTAAAGAAACTGATCTATATGATAAAAAAGTACAGAAGGAAGACCTGCCTTTGTTTTTTTTAAAATATTCTTTCATATTTTTAAGTCCCAATTATAGGTAAAAGGAACAAAATAACATAAATTTTAATTTTTAAACTCATCTTGTTTTGTCCAAGAGTTCAGATGGGCTAAATTTTGATATGTAAAGTATTATCAAGATAATTCAAATTTTAGAATGCAACTTTTTTTTATTTGTTCTGATTCGTTATACATGACAGTAGAATGCATTTTGACACATCATACATAAATGGAGTATAACTTCTCATTCTTCTGCTAGTTTATGATGAAGAATCACACACATATTATTACTCTATATATGCACACAGGATAATAATGTCAGATTCATTCTACTATCCATCCTACCCTCAAAATGGAACCACCATTTGACCCAGCTATACCACTCCTCAGTTTATATCCAAAAGACTTAAAATCAGCACACTACAGTGACACAGCCACATCAATGTTTATAGCAGCTCAACTCATAATAGCTAAACTAAGGAGTCAACTTAGGTGTCCTTCAAAAGATTAGTAGTTAAAGAAAATGTGGTATCTATACATAATGGAATATTAGTGGGCTTTAAAGATGAATGAAATTATGACATTTTTGCTGGTAAAACCAAAGGCCAAATGATTTCTTGGATACACAGATACTAATTCACAATGGCGGGGGAGGGGGGACGGCTACAGAATGATAATTCAAATTTTGACATCCAGATATTATGCTTATTGTATAGAGATGAACATTTGTTTAGTTATTCCATTGCTTTAAAATACTCAAAGACTTCAAAAAGTATTTAGATAAGAGAGATCAATGGGATTAGACAATGTAATTTCTAAGAACAGTTTCTTCTAGGAGTAAGAGTTCTGATTAGAATTAACCAGGGTCACATTACAGAGTACATGTCCACATGTCCCTACTTCTTTTTGCTGGGGGAAGGGGTCTCCTAGCAAATGACTCAGTGAAAATATGTGCAGAGAATTCCCATCTGTGCCTGAGTTGTGGCTCTGAATCAACAATGCTGATGTAACATGAGTCCGCCTAGATAAGAACCAGCTCAAGACCTTCCTTTACAGCAAGTGTAGTCTCATGGAAAATCACCTTTGAACCCATCAAATGGGATGATGCAGTGGGGCATGGCCTATGGGAAAATCTGGAGGAAGCCCCCAACTAGTTAGTCTCTTTTTCTATCTCACTCTTTTAAATTCCTTAGTGAAACATCTAACATGGCCTTTTGTCAAGGAGCATGCCATCAGTAACCATTTACTGACCAAGG